GGGAATATTTAAAGGAGTAATAGCCGAACTAAATAAATACAAAAAAGTTTATATAAAAAATGGTTCGATTTTCAGCAGAAAAGTAGGGAATTAATATTTTGTGATTTTTCATGTAAGCCTGATTTTTTGTTGATTAGGAAATGATAAAAGAAACTATTTAATTTAAGTAATTAACGATTGCTTCACTATGAACTAAACAAAATTTACTTTAAATAAAAATAGAGTTTTGTTTTGTTAAAACCATTTAAAGAGGACTTTTGAGCGGATAAACTCAGTTAAGGAGTGGGGGGGAGAGGGGTAGTGGTGGGGGACGGATAATGATGGAGGAAGCACCTGGTACAGAGGTGCGCGCCCTCTGAGAAAATTCCTAGACCTGCCACTGTAGTGCGTTCAGCGAGACTATTCGTTGTAGGATAATTTGGTGCATTAAATTTGGATTTAAGATCCAGCCCCTCGTTTCCTTCCTGTCATATTTCACAATATCAGCGGTTACGTCGCTCACTTCATTGTCCGAGAGTTGGGAAGAGATTTGACAGAAGAAGAAAAGAAACATATTCGAATTGATGTCATCCCACATTCTGAAGGGAAATACTTATCTCCTTCTCAATGACAGTGGGCTTCTTAACCGTTAGATTTGTGGACGCATTCCGCTTTATGGTGAAATAGACACATTTATTTTATAAATAATAAGTAACCATTTTGTAACCTTAATTTTTAATACCAACACGTGTTTTTTCATGTTACTTTGAGTTATTAAGTTTTTTGTCATAATTTTGCTGTTCTAACAAGGATTATTTTATTTACTACAATGACTTCCATTCTGGATAGTTTGTCCAAGAATTGAAGCAGGTCTAACTTTAAATTCTTTCCTGCAGACCATTTGGACCTCGTGATCAGAAAAGGAGTGTATCCCTATGACTTCGTAGACTCGTTCGAGAAACTTCGAGGGATTAAAAAAAAAAAAAAAAAAAAAAAAAAAAAAAAAAAAATACAGTATCTCTAAATATACCGAAATTACTAATTACTACATTACTAATTTGTCAGTAATGTATTTAAATATACCGATGTATCTAAAAAAAGTTTTAAAACGAAACAAAAATTATGGTGGGATTAAAAATTATAATAATTACAGGTTTTTTTTTTAAATATCTATACTAAACAATTTAAATAACTAAATATGGTCGGAAAATAAGGTTGTAATATACATAAATACATTATAATGTTCAAAAACATGACATGAACCACATTCAAAAAAGAGGATTCGTAACAATCATATTATGGGGGGGTTCATAGTAAAAACATACATTTCGTCAGTTTAATCCAAATAATCACTTGATACACTTTTGATAAAGCCTAACTTTTGAAAACATTTTTGTGAATGACGATCATATTTATTGATGCAAAGACTCATTGAGTATATCAAAATAAGATTAAACTAATACATGTCAAAATATAATAAATATTTCGGGGGTGAGGTAAAAAAAAGATATTATATTTTATAATAGTATATTTTTATTGCATTGTCCAACATTTCGACCTACGTGTAGGTCTTCCTTAGGGCATTCAGTGAGACATTGTTGAAGGCTATATTGCGACTGGTTGTCTGGTGTTCAGCTCAAGTAACAGGAAACTGACCAAAAAACCTGACCAGAAAACTGACGTCAGTTTCTTTACACTAATTTCTTGTGAAAGAGAATCCACCATCTCCATATCATTATAATAAATAAGTATGTAATTTGAAAATAAAGGGTTATTTTAAGAAAGGGTTCTCTGATTACATTACCCGCTAAAAGCAAAGCAAATTACACTATATCTCACCTGTATTGACATGCCGATCAATCTGTAATTTTTTTAACTTGCAACTTTTTTCGAACAATAGTTGCAAAAAACAACTTTTCAATCAGTTGTAAAAACTGTTTCACGTGTATTTTTGTACGGTTCAAGTCAAGATTTCAATTAAGACAAAAATGAAAACATACTCTTGGCATTTTAGCAGACATGTGACTTCTAAAGGACGTTGCCAACAAACTGAATTAGAAACTTAATAAGATCTTTACATGGAAGAATGAAAGAGTTTCCGGGAATCGGTGAACATCAATAAAAAGATTTATTGAAGGTTTTAGAGGAAGGTAGTTGTTAAGTCTACAAATGTGGTAGATTTTGTCGTTTTGTTCATCGAAAATAAACCTGCGATTGTAATCTTGAATTGCATCTTCAATTTTGCATTTTAATTGTTACAAATAAATAAATATGTATATTTTCATTTTGTTAAATTAATTAAAATATGCATTTATCCCCAAATATGCAAAATAAAATTTGGCTAATTGCACCACAATGTACTAATTCGTAAATATTTTTAACCGCTGATAAAATAACTGTACGAATTAGTACATTGTGATGCAATTAGCCAAATTTCATTTTACATATTTTAGTATATTTGAAGATAAATGCATATAATTGCATATTTTGATTAATTTAATGAAATAAACAAAATAGATATGTAAATGAATATTTATTTATACATACAAGAAAACCAACTTAGGTGGCTTGGACATATCTCGCGAATGGCTGAAAACAAAATTGCCAGGGCTACCTACGAGGTCAAAGTAGAGGGAAGCAGGCCACAGGAAAGACCAAGAAAAAGATGGGAAGAAGGAGTTAAAGAAGCCTTTGACAGGAGAGGAATGGACTGGAGTAGGAGAAGACAGCTGGCCCAGGATAGAGATTCTTGAGGAACCTCACACTGCAACAGAGGACTGGATTAAGTTAAGTTATATATACAAATTAAAATGCAATATTGACGATGCTATTCAAGATTACAATCGTAGATTTATTTTCAATGAACAAAATCTACATTTGTAGACTGTATACCTACCATCCGCTATACTTCTTAATAATTCTCTTTATTTGGCTAATATGACCAGGCATAAAGCCACTAAACAAAAATAAAAAAAATCTCTTTAAAGATTCGCTTCTCGTCCCTCATAAACATCATTCTAAGTTTCTATTTTAATTTATTGCCTATGTTCTTAGCAAGAGATCATATTTCAGTTCATTTAATATGCCAAAAGTATCTATCGATGTTCAAAACTTGGATTGAACCTTAAAACGACAGACATGAAATAGTTTTTACAACTGTTGGAAAACCAGTGGTTCCAGGCCAAGTGGGTGAAACTTTAAATGAAAATATGGAAGAAGTTTCTATAAAAAATTCAGGACTCAAAATTCTGATAGGTATTAATCAAATTTTAAATTGTTCAATTAAGTCAATTGTTCAAAGCGACATTGACATCAACCCGGCAATTTTAAGCGGATCTAAATTTGTCCCTATCCCGCCAATGTAGAAAGATCATTTTCTAATTATAAAAGGTTAGGTTTCACAGAAGCAAATTCAACAATGTTTCTGGTTATACTGAACATGCCTACAACGTAGACTAATTCAAATATTTTATCTATTTTAATATATTTATTCCATAATTTGTTAATTTTTTTATTGTTTCAACAAAGACTCATGTTAAATTTTTATTCATTCACATACAAAATTTTAAAGCTTTTACAGACTTATTGTTCAATATTTGTTATCTTTTGTTGCAATGCTTATTTAATTATGTTAAGACAGTTATTGTTTTTTCGTTTGTTTATACTTTGATATTTAAATTTTTTTAATGTGATTCATGTTCGGCTTCCGTTACCATTAAAATGTATATATTTATATTATAACATCAATAGCCGGATATGTTTAGTTATTTTCTTTCATTAGTTGAGATATTAAAAAAAAACTGAAATTATTGTAATTTTCAACCCCTCAATAATTTCTTTTCGTTCAAAACTTTTCTTAGGCACGTTATTATATTTAAGTACGTTATTGTATTATTAGTAAATAAGTAATTAGTAAGTTTAGTATATTGAGGGACCAGTTACTGCTATTTTAAAATTTTTTTTTTTTTACTGCATATTTCACTGCGTTTTTTTTTTTACTACGTGTTATATGGCATATTCTGTGGTTTTTCACTACATACAAATCCGGCCCTTCGTTATAACGTAGTAGCCCTGGAGTCGGTGCCAAAAAAACGGACCTCATCGCAGGCGAAGGTTTGAATGTAAATTATGAAAGTCATGCAAAGAGGTCCAAAATCGCAGACTAGATGAAACTTTGATAAATGAATTTTTCTACCAAAAGGTGTCGTTTGTTAACGATGTATGATATTTTCATATAAAATTTTAATTTTATTAAAATCTTATGGTTTAATTTTGTAATTGCATATATTCCCTATCATTTGACAAAGATAATTACTACCAAAAGTAATTAAAACAATTAAATTTGTCTAAAATTGAGTTACGAGGCCTAAAAGAGATCAATTTTTAAAAAAAAATATCAGATTTTTCGCTTATAATTCGATGCCATAAATAACAGCGTGGATTAACCGGCCAAAGTGTTGGCAGCTGTTAGCTAAGCTTTCTCTTCTTCAAAGGTATTGTAATAATTACTATTATTTCATTATTACCAGTAATTTGACCTACGGTAATCACGATTCCCAGTACTCATTCAGAATGTTAGTACAATAACTAAGGAGATCAATGATTGTGACAAAAGAAATTAAAATAATTCCATTGCTGCTACTAAATTTTTATTTTAAACATATTTCTCTGTGCCCTACATAGTATATTATTACTATAATTAACTCTTGTAATCGTGTATGTTAGGACATGATTGTCATTGTATCAGGACATGATTGCTAATACTGGGAAATCTATCAACAGTGGGCTCAATTTGACCACAAATCCAGCCACTACGTTGGAGTAGACATTCAGAACTGGTAACGTTGATTTCTCATTACTCCTCACCCATACCCGACATTGAAATACTGTTCAGAGCTACTTCTTGCAATACTATGTTTCCAAGACTCAAGTAATCTTAATTTTAAAAATAATTACAAAACATAAAACAAAAAAGTGCCAACTTTATTTATATATACAGAACAATCATAGTTAATCTCTTAATAATATTTAAATTATTTGTGGTAGTACCTGATCATCAGCTAAGTTTCCCTTCGTCTTGTTTTATACCTCGTTCAATCTGTAAATACTTGTATTATGTGTTTTTCTGAGGAAACAAAATTGAACTTTGGTTTGTGGTAAGTAAAATTGTTTAAAATTTTCTTACAATTCAATATAAGGTTCTTTATCATTTTCAAGCTCCATCATAGTATCAAAGTTAACTATTAGTAACAATCATCAGTAAAAAGAACATCCCCGTAATCAATTCATGAATGGTTTTTTTTCTCTAGCCTTTCAGGATCGCTATCAAAGCTACTCCTATAAAAGAAAAGCCCACCAGTACATAGCATACTCCGCTGAATATAAGTCCAACGTACTTCGTACCAGAACGTTCGTTGAGTAATTCTGGAAAAGTAATCAAATATATTTTAATCTTACAAAAACATTAAAACATTAATTAATTAATCTTAAAAAATAGATTACTTTTGCATTTGTATGAAAAATGTGATCATATAATTTATCTACTTTATTTATTCTGAGACAAGTCTCTGTAGAATTATATATGAATGAATGATTTATTGCTTTCAAAGAAAAACTTACAGCAAGGAGATGGTTATGTAACAATTCAATAATAATTATGTAAATAAAAAGTAATATTAAGTTCCTTCTTATAAATTGAATACAATACGTTCATAAATATTTTCAAAATAATAAGGAATAAACAAAATACTTTCCATCTTTCTAGTGGTTGGAATAAATTGGGTAACAATGCTAATAAATTAAAATAATTTAAAAACTTTGGTTAAATTAGGTTGGTATTTACCAGAGATGGGCAAATGTTACACTGAGTACTGATTGCCAAGTATTTTGATTAAATACTGTCCTTTTTAGAGTAGCAAACAATTTGATAACTACTTCAGTTGATACCAAAGGATTAATTGAAGTAGTGATTGAATTATCAATAGTGATTCAATTTGAGTAAAATACTTGGCACTCGGTACTCAGAGTTGCATATACCCATCTCTGATATTTGCCCATGTTTACGTAAAACAAATAATGCGCGAGTTAATAATTGTAAAAATTTCTTTCTGTGTCATCTAGGTGAAGCAAATTTGTAAACAATCCAGAATAAAGCATTCAGTGGAACTTTATACTTTTCTCTATGGCCGGTAGTTTTTGTTTGGGTTTTATTTATTGTTTTGTTTGAGTTATTTGTTTCTGTTTTTCTAAAAAAGGTTTGATAGTATTAGCTTGCATAATTTTTCTTTATGGGCTGTGATTTAGAGATTTTGCGGATGAATCAGGTTCCATATCATCAGAGTGCCCACCCTCCCCAAGTTCGAGGCGCAAACCCCCCTCCTTTCAAGATATTTTATTGTTCTATTCTTCTTAAAACCAGTGCAAGCTAAAGTAGAATTTAAAAATCACAGCCCATAGACTGTTACACTTTTGATGTCTGGTTCTTTGCTTTCCTCTTGTCCCCACGTTTGAAACTTTTCATTTCGAAAATTTATAATCCCGTCAAAACGTGCCTCCCCTCAAAAATACAAAACCTCGACAAAATGTGCTCCCCTCAAACAATTTAATGCCATAACTAGCGCCATGAAACCTCCTTCTGGGCACCGCTGCATATCATACTTCCAAACCTGCGGCAGAGATATCAAGATCTGTTGTTTGTTGTGGTTCCAGTTGTCCCTCCAAAAAGTGCCAACACCAAAAAGTCTCTCCAATTATTGGTCTAAACTTTTTTTTTTAAACATTAGTAATATGCTAAAAAAGAAATAGCATTACTATTATTACAGTAACACATAAAAAAATTTAAAACAAAACAAAGACTATAACATTTGGAGTAGAACATATATAAAAAAAACGGAGACCATATCTTTGCTCCTAATTGTCCGATTTCAACGATTTTTTAGGTAATTTCGTAAAATTTTAAAAATCCAAAAAGTTTGTATTCAATTTTCGAATTCTACGCATCGTGAAACGTGGAACCTCAAATTTTAAGAGGGGAATAAGTTTTTGAATTTTTTGGTCGATCACAATGGTTGATTATTGAAAATAATAAACCAAAAATATTTCAATCACTAATAGTGGTTTGATTTCGAAGAAACTTCCTTCATTTTTTAGGAAATTTAAATACCTTTGAAACATCTTATCGCAATATCTACAAAAAGTGTAAACAAAAAAGTGTAAAATAGAGATGAAACTTCATTCAGAAATTGTTCTTTACCCTCCCCATAGTAACTGATAAAAAGTCCCAAAGAATCCCGCTTCGGGTTTTGATGGAAAGAGGGGGTGAAGAACAAAAAACTGACATTTCTGAAGTGAAACTTCTTTGCACTTTTTTTAGAGAGTGAATTAGATTGATCCGGCAGATTTCCGAAGTGTTAACGGTCGGGTAAAGTTGGCTAGAGTCAGATAAAGAACTTAGCCCCACAAAGAACTTGAAAACAACTTTATTGGTAAACAGACAGTTACATACATTACTACACTACTGAGTAGATAATGCTGAACTCTAATGATGGTTAATGACTGACTGACTCTAACAGAGGGGTATATATACAGGGTTGTAGGAGGGGGATAGTACTGAGTTAGGTATGTAGAGAAATGCATCATAATTCCTCTCTTCTGAAGATGCGAAACTTCCGAGAGCATTATTTGTTTAGTAAAGTCCAAGGATTAAGATGAATTGGAGGCAGAGTAATGTCTTCTAATTTTTGTTCAGATGGTTTACATCTTGAGGTACATTTACAATGGTTAAGGATAAGAATTGAGATATGATATAGAAAAAGATATAAAACTATAATACTAAGAATATACAAATAATAATCATTTTCTACAAAAGGTACATAACCTAATTCTTCTAAGGTTCTTTTGGTTCCGATTTAATATTTAATTATTCTATTTTAAGTTGTTCGACTGTTCTTGAGTCTTTAATTTTTTTTTTAAGTGGTCTAAAAGTTCTGAAATGTTTATGACAGTATTAGTCAATAAACAATGCCTAGCAATTCCTACTAATCTGGAAGTAATTTTTGAAAACAGTTTTCACTTATGCCCTGTGGCTCACACTTTAGTTTTTTGAGAATAACACAAAAAAATATGAAGTTTTTATCAAACATTGTTCAGTACAATATTGAAGTACTTTACAATCTATAAAATGACCTTATACATTTTTTCTTTTTTTTAATTAAATCAATGGTAACAGAAATATTTAGAAATAGAAATAGAAATAGAAATAGAAAAATAATTTTACTCTGGGACGAAGTCTCTTCAGAATAACAAAAAAGTACAGAAATTAAAATTTTATATCTGGACAGATAAAAACAAACATAAAAAGTTAAGATAAAGATAGATCATTAAAAAAAATATAAAAAAAATTGATTATACATACTATATACAAAATAAAATATATAAAAAACTCTTGAAACCATACTAAGATACTTAAAACTATGTACAATGTTAAAATATAAATAAACCCTTTTAGAAAAAATAAAAAATACAGAAAAAATAAATGGAAATTCTTCTTAACAGTAAAATCTGTTTCTGTTGAAAAAAAGAAAAGAAAAAAAGAAAGTCGAATCCATAATAAGTATTTAAGTTATGAGCTGTATGTGAATATGTTCTTATAGATAATATGTAATTTTACATAAAAGGTTAGCTGGTGTCTGACTGTTTTTGGTACAGGAATTGGAATAGGAGGGTTTTATGAGATTATATTCATCGTATTTCCACTTTAAGCAAAAAAATTGCTCCGAATCACGGAAATAATGTTGTTCGTAGTAGACGATACCTTTTTGAAGTTTAATATTTTTTTTTAACAGGCTTTTGCAGGCTGAGCGGTAAGAAATTAGGTGAGTGGATACAACTAAATTTTAAATTAGTTCTTAGCTGCGGTTTCGCTCGTAAAAATTTCTTTACCGCCATTCCAATTAAATTTACACCGATAGGTGCTATACTCATGATAAGGATAAGTATGATGCATATAAAAGTTTGAGTACACCAGATTCAAGGAAACCTGTCAAATTAGCTTCGACTTAAATTGAAACACGCACTATCCTTGCTTAACTGAGTTTTCTGTAATTTTGTAAATAATTTTATAAGTTTTCAAATAATTACCAACATGAGACGTATAAGTTTCAAGTCATTCAACAATTATAATTTTTTTATTTTAATTTTTTTTTTTGAGTGCTACTAATGGGTAGTTTCTCAACATGTGTTTCATGTCATTATGTCCATGTGCGGATTTACCAGATGTATTTTTTGTATACAGCTATAAATATCATATAAATAAATAAAAATATTTTTTTTTAGTCACTTCAACGTTCAAATGTTTAAGAATCCAACCTTATTGGCACATCTACAGGTAATGATAAGGTGAACTTCAAATAAAGGTTTCAACTTTATAGGCATTCTCATTTTTGATATAATGAAATGAAATATATTGCCGAAACAGTGTGGCCGTACTTTTTTATATTAAATGTAAAGTATGTATTCATTAGTACGAATAAAACTTATGTGAAAATAAAACGTGTTGGAAAAGAAAATGTACGCAGTAACTAAAAACAAATCTAAAAAATAATAGTAATAAATATGCGAAAATTACAGAAGAGATTAATCTGGATAACATTTGAAATATATAAGAAAATAATTTCACATAAAATCATAGGACTGAGCGAAGAAAAGGTGATTGAAAAAGAGAGATTTAAAAGAAGAAACCATTGAAGCATGGCGGAATAGAGTTCCATAGAGAACCAGCTCGAGTTTGGAAGGAGTTGTTGACATTCGGAGGGAAGGAGCGTAGAAGTCAGTAGGAGATATCGCGTAGGACGGATGGAATTTTTAAATTACAAGATTGGATGGAAGATTTAAATTACAAGCTATGTTGTATGTAGGAAGGGCGCTAAGTTCTGATAACTTGATATGCTGTAATTATTAAGTCAGTGAGTGACATACATCTTTCCTTTATCAGAGAGATTATAAAAATAAAATCAGAATTGATTATGTGTCGAAATATTGATTACCTGCTATAGGCATGCCAATGAAACACCCGATCCCTTGTACAAAGAAGAGGATCCCGGAGGCACTGGTCAGCTTCTTCAGTCCCATCATTTCGATGATAACGACGCTCCTCAATGGCGTTATCACAGCTGTGGCCAATAAATAAACATACTTTGAATTAATCCAATGTATTTGGCTAATATAATAACAATTTTGACAATCTCTTTTAACAAAAAGGTTGAAACCATAAATATTTTTTAAGCGTCAAATACAAATTTTGGACATCTAATTTTCGTTACTGACATATTTATTAAATTTTGGTTATTACATCCATATTTTGTCATTAAACATATTATACGCACCTATACAAAATATTGCTATTCACTAACAGCAAATATAGACAAGTTGCAACAGAAGGAACGGTAACATAGTTTTATGTTAAGCATATGAATAGATTTAATGTTTTCATAGACAGTGGGCATATAGGCTTAAAAACATTAAAAGTTAATGTCAGTTCATTTTTTTTTTAAAATTAAAATCATAGAATTCCATTCAACATTTTCTCAGTACATCAAAAGAAATGAATGTGTATGAGAGAATAAACATTAGAAGAGAAGAGCTTAACTTTCTCTATAAAGGTTTCGTGGTATCTGTTGTTAAGCCTGTTTGGGATTGAATGATGCCGAGGGATTGTCATATTGCCTCAATTATACTGACAACTCAAAAGGTTTTTACGATGAATTTGGAATATCAGACTGACCAGTGTTGGGCAAAAATTATCTATAGCTAACAGATAAGAGATAACAGCTAAATTAGCTATTAGCGGGCAGATAATTCTGCAACTAAATTAGCTATTAGCGGGACCAAGGCGCTAACTTTTAGCGCAAGTTAACTTTTAGCTGTGCTTACCGCTAACCGCTAATTATCTTTATCTGTATCTTCAGCTAAAAGCTAATAGCTAATTCTTCGGATTTCATTGGTCTTAGAGTCGACTATGACGTTTTGGGGGGCGCTTTTTATGAAAATAATGTCGGATTTTAGGTGTGACCCCCTCTCCCCCCCCGGGCAACGACTTATCGTAACTTTTCTGATTTTATCGATACATGGGTCGACTATTAGGTTTTGGGGGGCGCTTTTTATGAAAATAATGTCGGATTTTAGGTGTGACCCCTCCCCCCCCCCCGGGCAACGACTTATCGTAACTTTTCTGATTTTATCGATACATGGGTCGACTATTAGGTTTCGGGGGGCGCTTTTTATGAAAATAATTTCAGATTTTAGGTGTGACCCCTCCCCCCCCCCCCGGGCAACGACTTATCGTAACTTTTCTGATTTTATCGATATATGGGTCGACTATTAGGTTTTGGGGGGTGCTTTTTATGAAAATAATGTCGGATTTTTGGTGCGACCCCTCCCCCCCCACCGGGCACTGACTTTTTGTTACTTTTCTGATTTAATCGATATCAGGGCCGACTATTAGGTTTTGGGGGGCGCTTTTTATGAAAATAATTTCGGATTTTAGGTGTGACCCTCCTCCCCCCCCCCTGGCAACGACTTATCGTAACTTTTCTGATTTTATCGATATATGGGTCGACTATTAGGTTTTGGGAGGCGATTTTTATGAAAATGGTATCGAATTTGAGATTGGGCCTCCCGGTTCTCGACTTTTTTAAAACTTTTTGGATTAAATCAATATATATGTCGACTATTAGGTTTTCGGGGGGGCTTTTTATGAAAATAATGTCAAATTTTAGAGAGTGCCCCCGAGCACCGACTTTTGGTATCTTTTCTGATTAAATTGATATATGGGTTCGATATAATCCGAAATGTTACAAAAAGTTGGGAGCCGGGCACTATCTCAAATCCAACATCATTTCCATAAAAAGCGCCACCCAAAACCTAATAATTGACTCTAATATCGCTTAAATCTGAAATGTTACAAAAAGTCGGAGCCCAGGGGCACTATCTAAAAATTCATGAAAATGATTCGTATTCCAATATCATTTTCATAAATAGCGAATTCCAAAACATAAGAGTTGACCCTAATATCGATTTAAACAATAAAGTTTAAAAAAGTGGAGGTCCGGGGAGCCCAATATCAAATTTGATATCATTTTCATAAAAAGCGCCCCCCCCCCCAAAAAACGTAAGAGTTGACCCTGATATCGATTTAATCAAAAAAGTTAAAAAACGGCGTGCTCGGGGCGCCCAATCTCAAATTTGATATCATTTTCATAAAAAGTTCCCTCCAAAACATAATAGTCGACCCTAATATCGATCTAATCGGAAAAGTTAAAAAAAGTCGAGGCCCGGGGAACCAATTCTCAAATTCGATATCATTTTCATAAAAAGCGCTCCCGAAAACTTAAGAGTAGACCCTGATATCGATTAAATCAGAAAAGTTACAAAAAGTCGGTGCCGGTGGGGGGAGGGCGGGGAGCCGTATCTAAAATCCGACAATATTTTTATAATAAGCGCCCCCTAAAATCTAATTATCGACCTATATATCGATTAAATCAGAAAAGTTACAAAACTTCGGTGCCCGGAGGGGAGGGGGCCGTATCTAAAATCCGACATTATTTTCATAAAAAGCGCCCCCAAAAACCTAATAGTCGGCCCTGATATCGATTAAATCAGAAAAGTTCCAAAAAGTTGGTGCCGGTTGGGGGGGGGGAGGGCGGGGAGCCGTATCTAAAATCCGACAATATTTTTATAATAAGCGCCCCCTAAAATCCAATTATCGACCTGTATATCGATTAAATCAGAAAAGTTACAAAACTTCGGTGCCCGGAGGGGGGGGGGGGCCGTATCTAAAATCCGACATTATTTTCATAAAAAGCGCCCCCCAAAACCTAATAGTCGGCCCTGATATCGATTAAATCAGAAATGTTACGATAAGTCGGTGCCCGGGGGGGGGGGGGGAGGAGGGTAATACCTAAAATCCGACATTATTTTCATAAAAAGCGCCACCCAAAACCTAATAGTCGATCCATATATCGATAAAATCAGAAAAGTTACAAAAAGTCAGTGCCCGGGGCAATTTTCATAAAAAGCGCCCCTGATTACATAACATTCGATCCTAATATCAATTAATAAAATGAAATAAATAAATTTTCCTCTAGTGTTAGCGTTAAGTTAGCTTTTAGTTAAGTTAATAGATAATTTAGCTTAAGCTAAAAGTTAGCGGTTCGTTTCCGCTAATAGCTAATTTAGCGCTAAAGTTATCTGCGCTAAAACAGCTGGAAGCTAAATTAGCTTAATATTTAGCGCCGCTAATTTTAGCTTTTTAGCGGTACGTTAGCTAGTTAAAAATTAGCGCGCTAACGCCCAACTCTGAGACTGACACAGACTAGGATGACCATTGTCATGATCTAGATTTTAATATTCCTAATGTACACCCAGTTCAGAAGCAAAAGTAAAAACACATTATTAAATTAACATTAACTATTTATACATATATATCACTGAGATCATATGTATGAGAATAGGTTAGTTAGTTACTTCTTACATGAACACAATATAATAAATCATGCATTGTAATCAGGGAATAAAAAGTGGCAATGGAAACAAATGCCATAACCCATTTGCAAATTAAAAAAGAGTTAATAACATATAAACCTTCTGAAAATAAAATTTTTGGTGTATTTCACATCCATTAATCGTTTTGTTGATGTTTTTTACTAACCTGGTAAAGCACCCCCCAGAAATGAGACTGTGATCTGATAAGGGAACGAGTAGTTAAGGGGCACGCAGCAGATCACGAGACCACCCAATATAGAAAAGACGATCAGCACCTGAAGAGCTTTTATCTTCGGGAAGAAGTAGAGGAGAAACCCGATGGTACTCCTGCCGACTGTTGAACCCAGGCCCATTATAGTTGTCAGCATCGACGCATTAGATTCTTCCATTTTTTCGAGGTTGACCTCTGAACAAAATCATCCATTAAATATCCATTCTCATGACAGAAAGTAACAAAATTTCAATATAAATGATGATATATTTATATAACACGCTCACTTTTAATCAATAGGAATGGGATGTAGATGGCGGTATATGTGAGCAGTGATGCGACTACAATGAACAGAAACACAGCCGATTTGAAAAGAGAAAAGTCCACCATTTCATTGATGGCTCTCACTATTGCTTCTGGAACTTTGCAATGACACTCCATTTCCTGCTTGACGTCGGTCTCTGTTGGTAGGTTGTAAACTGAGAGCCCATAAGTATCTTTTGGCTTAAACGATCGAAAAAGAAATTTAAGTATAGGGTAAGACAAATTAAAATAATAATATGAGAAGGAGTTAATCGGGGGTACGGTCAAATAAATACTAAATTAAACAGATAGTAATTATTTAATTTTTGCCGACGTTTCATTCATTTTCTTTATCTGTTAACCCACAGTTATCAAATGTAATCTTTATTAGTTTGTTATACACTTATTCCTTATCTTTTATCGCAATCTGTTTATTTTTAACTTACATGCTATATTCTCCTTTATTTTCTATTTTTATTCATACTTATTTTCCATTTGTTTGTATCTTCTACATATATAATACTTGATATTTTAACTACACTCTAACCCACTATATCTCTGATATCATCTTTTTATTTCTATATCTGACAACTTCTTCTTATTTTATATCTACTTATATTCAGTTATTTTATTTTCACCATGTTTCGTATCTTTTGTAGCCCTGAAGATGACCTGCAAAGTGGGTCGAAACGTCGGCAAAAATTAAATAATTACTATCTGTTTAATTTAGTATTTATTTGACCGCACCTCCCGATTAACTCCTTCTCATATTATATCAACGGTCAACCATCTCTACATCATTATAAAATAATAATATTATTTTTATTTTAATCATAATACCAAGAAAATACTTGTATGGCAGACTTTAACTATTTTTTATTCAGAACCTTATAATTCCGATTATGTCGTCCACTGAGGCATAACAAAAATAATTCTTTTCACATGAATCTTGGGTTGGTTAACAGGAAAGGATAAAAGTGTAGATTAAATGAGTCTCATACAAACAGGTGAAACTTTAACTAAATTCACTATCAATAAAAGTGAACTAGGTTCAATTTTTCGGCTTGACAATAGGAAATTTGATAATAATTCGCTTCTCTGCCGAGAACTAAAGAAAGGAAGATATTGATGTATTGCACAAAAAAAAAAAAAAAAAAAAAAGAAATCAATTAACGTTCATTATTATCTTTTTTAAAAGTAAGCGAATGTATATATTGTATATAGGTATGATTGTGTTTATAAGTTTCTATTTTATGTTATTGTTTACTTTTTTTTCTTTTATTTACTTTCTTCATCAGTATTATTTATTTACTTTTTATATTTATATTTATTTCTATATTATTTGTATATATTGTTTGAATGAGAACTCTTAGTCTAGTGGCTGATTGTATTATTATTCAATAAATAGATTAAAAAAAAAAAAAAAAAGGTATAGCTTCGACACCTAATTCAATTTTTTATATTTATTAAAATTTACATCTATAAACATACATACAACAAGTAAATGTGCTATAAGAATATATAACATGATAAGTACTTGTGAAGGAGCTACTCATTGGTAACACTTCAAAGATATATTAATTTAGAAGATCCCTTGGCCATCTTCCATTGGAGTGACCATGGGAGCCCGTTCCTCCCCAAAGGTCGATGGCGCTAAAACCTATCTGCCCCTCTCCTCCCAAGATATTTTATTGCTTACCTTATCTCGTGCCAATCTTCACCGTCATTGAAAATTTAATCAAATCGTAAAAGTTTTTGTACGTCACATAAAAAAAATAATAAAAGAAACATTTTTATGAAGCTATATCATATTATAGTTTACAAGATCAATAATGACAGGAATTTTAGTTTTTACGAATAATTCAACTTAGATAACCAAGTTAGAATTAGTAACATTATTGAAATGTTTTCTTTGGTCATGTGGAATTGCACTGTATATCCATTTAGAAAGAGCGTGTTTCAAAATACCGAAATACCATATAAATATGCAAATGGTAAATCCTTAATAAATTTAATGGCACCTAACTCCACTGTCTCTTATCTCTTTTGTTTCTTCTCTTTTGTTCGGCACATTCAGAAAATATCTCAGCTCACCAACTTTTTAAGAGCTAGAAATTGTTAAGTTTTTCGTAGTCATGTCGATTTTGTTTTAAGAAATCTACCATCTGATCTGTTAACTGTCCCTCATTTGTTTTTAAATGTTGAAATGAAAATTGATAATTTATGAAAAAGGTCTGATAATTAATTTATTGATCCTTTGATGTGTTCAAAAATAACTTTTTTAAGACAACCTAATCGTTCCTTTTACCTGATTTCGAGGTGAATAGGAAGCTGTTCAGTGATACTCCAGTTCTCTTTGTTAGAAGAGATCCTTATTTAATTATACATTTTTAAATTACAGAATATTTTATGGTCAAGGTTGTCTGCTATTAAGATTGATTTAATCTATCTTTTATGTATTATTTTATTTAAGTAGAGAATATTTTGTTTCACCTTCCTTCGTCTGTTTTTTAAGCTCTTCTTTTATAACTATGAACATACTTGATTCTTATTTTAACTTTTTATTATGTAATCGGATTTATGGTCAGAATTAATCTTTATTTTTGTTATTATTACCGTGCTTAAGGCACTTAGAAGTCGAATAAAGTAGCTTTTTTTATTCTATTCTATGTGTCAGGTGAATTTTATACTTATGTACGGTCCAAGATACCGTAAATAATAATTTTTTGAAGGAACTGGGTTGTTCTCCATCATTACAGTATGGCATAAAACCTTCCGCAGGGAATAACTGACGTGCCCTGATTTGCAAGCATTTATTTTACTTTTCCATTTCTGGAACCACTTTTCGAGAAGGGATATTGATGCAATAGTTGGATTTTTGCGAGAAAAAATAATTACAGCATTGTTAGCGAATATTTACTATTAGAAAATAAATTGTTATTATTATAAAACTATAATTATTTTACCATCCCCTCAATTTTGGCGATATGGTGGACACTGCCGTGATAGAATATATCCTGCTTGTAGAGAGGCCTAGCCCCGACCTCGTGGGATCCCTGGCAGGTGAAGCATCTCCAGCATCTGGCACATCCCGCATTCGTCGAATCCTCCTCTTGTTCGACATATCTTGAAGGAGCCCTAAGTGGTCCCTTCAAAGGAATCCCGCACGTGTCCGCTATCTTCTGCAGCTTCTCATCTGCCATTTCACCTTCACTGGTCCGCTTTTTGCGTATGGGTCGCCTGTAATATAGTTCAATACCTGATTAAAATAGACATTATCGCCTTTTAAAACATAACGAGCCTACTTACAATGATTTAGTTCCAGTCCTGGTTACGTCCAGAGCCGTTACGTTCTTCTGGTTTTCGAGGTGGGTCATCTTACTTGCTTCCAGTTCGACCATTGGTGGAGTTTTTAACAAAAAGGCCAATATACAAAGGAGAGCAACACAAGCTGAAAGTGGTGGTTTAAAGTTTTTATTCTGAATTCCTCAACAACAAAGATAAACAAATCATTTTTTTATAAATTTATAAAAATGAAGAATATAATGTATTCCTACAGTTAAACTAACTGTATCCTCGAACATAATAAATAAATTATTTCTTTGATTGATTACTGTAAATAATCGATCTATGAATTCATGAATAAAAATTCTTATTCTGAAACACATATTCCTCTAAAAAATCGGAAATATACAAATTAAGTAGTATGCATTACGGAAACTATTATCTTTCAGAAAAAATACAAAAACATGTGTAAACAAAATTTAAATGAGTATTCATCAAAAATTAGTAGAAATTATATTATAAATTAGTAAAAATTATAATGGTATTAACACCCATGAACATTTATTAAATTTATAAATTATAATGAATGGTCATTGACAGCAATTGACAAATAAACGTCTTTAAAATGAAGTTAGAGAGTAGACTTCACGAATAGGTAAGGAATTTCATAAAGATACATTGAAGCGGTGAAGTATTGATTTTAGACTCCTTGAAATTAAAGATTTATTTTGAACGGAAGGGATCGCCTATTATATTATGAATTATTGACGATATTGATTTTGGTCCGAGTCAATGTTATTAATCGTTGTTCATCCCAAAAAAATATTATTCATAGAATAATTTGTGTACAATATGCACTGTATAAATACAATATATACTAAAATGAACCGATTTTTAATTACAATTAAAAATAATTAACATAACTATTGTAAAACAAACAATATAATATTATGTATTTAAAAATAAATTTATATACATATATATATATATATATATATATATATATGTATATATATATATATATATATATATATATGTATGTATATATATATATATATATATATGTATATGTATATATTTCGTATGGGTATATTTGAAAATACATTAACGAAACTATATATATTTCATTTTTTTTTATTCAATGTTTGAGGCAGCGAGATCGGACCCTCTTTTCTCCGATTTCTACTATTCTCCGATGAATGAAGTATTCACTTAAAAATACTGCTGCACATGAATGATAATAAAATCCTAATGTTGCTAAATCTAATTAATTATCTTTGAATTTCAACTAAAATTTCAATAATAGGGCATAGGGCGAGGTAAAATACTTGAATACCTAATTCTAGTCCTTTGCAAAACTTCTAATTTAATTTTCTCTTTTCTGAATTGTTTTTGGTTTACATGTTTTATTCATTCATGTAGATTAATTTTTATTGAACTTTATTTATTTTTTTAGTTTGAAATATTAGAGAGAGGGCAAAACGAATTTCTCGCTCTCTCCCAATTTTATTTGGAAGGGAGGACTATCGCTCCCTTGGCTCCCCCCTCCTCCCCTCCTATATATAATATAGGATAATATATATAATATATATATATATATATATATATATATATATATATATATATAAGGAATATAATATATATATTATAATACATAATGTAATCCGAAGTCGGCGCTATGCCTACGTCTTTCCGCTACACCTTTAGGATCTTCCATTCCCATCTCAGTATTAATTTTTTTTTTTTTTTTTTTAGTTTTTTATACTTTCTAATGTTTTATTCTATTTCCAACAATGTTTCGAACGTATTTTAATTTATTTAAACTGTATGCTCACTGCGTACGGTACTTTTAAAAAAAAATCTATTTATTGAATAATAATACAATCAGCCACTGCTGGAGGGCTATAAGTATTAGAGCTAAAAGTTCTCATTCATACAATATATACAAATAATAAAGAAATAAATATAAATAATATAAGAAGTAAATAAATAATACTGATGAAGAAGGTAAATAAAAAGAAAAAAAAATAAACAAATAAAATAAAATAAAAACTTCTAAACACAATCATAACTATATACAATATATACATTGTCTATATCTTCGAGCCAGGCTTTTTCCCCCACATGTGGAAGGCAAAGCAAGACTCGCGTACGGTACTAACTCATACCTCTATTGTTTAACATTGAATGCACATTTGAGCTTTTTAGAGGTGTATGAACCTGTAGAAATTAACTAACAAGTAAATGGGATATAGCTGTGTTGATGTTTATTATTTTCTAATGTCCTATCTAATTAAAAATTGACTTACTTCAATAAAACTTACAAACACCTAATAATTCATGATGTTTATGGAAACAGAACTTAGGTTAGTGGATAAGCTCAAAAGTCCTCTTTAAATGGTTTTAACAATGGGAAGCGCTACTTTCATGTAAAGTAAAATTTATCTAGCTTACTGTGAAGTAATTTTCAATTGCTTAAATTATATAGTATTTTAGTTACTGTTTCAAATTCAATAAAAAAACGTGACACTTGAAAAAAACACAAAACTTTAATTTTCTACTTTCATGCTGATGTGGGCCATTTTTTATATAATAGGGTGTATAAAAAAATAACCGTTTTCAACCAAATATTTGTATTATTATTTCTTTGATATAAAATATAATTAATACCCAAAGTATATTCCATTGTTATCTACCATCATGAGCCATCTGGTTGGCAATTGCTCGATACCACGTTAATATCATTCTTTGGGATGACTGTCAAAGAACTCTGGACCGTTATTTCAATTTCCGCAAAATTATCAATTTTTTCCCTTGAAAAAAATAGCCCATGGATCTCAATAACTACTAATTCGATGGTGCGAGGTCTGGACTAAATGGTGGATGAGGCAGGAGTTCGAACCCATGAAGTTCTTTAAACTTTTCTTTGGTTCGAAGGGAATTGTGATCAAGAGCATTATCTTGTTAGAATAAAATTTCTTTTCGGTTGATCAAAGCAGGATAACGCTCTTACAACTTCGCGTACAATCTTTCCAGTTCTTCGCAGTACAGTTCAGAATTCATGGAGCATTCATCAGGAACAAATTCGTGATGTATATATCTTCTTTATCAATGTATAACATCTTCAAAATTTCAAAAAAACTCAAAGAGTGGATTTTTGTTTTCAAATTGCCTTCTTGCAGTAACCGAAAAAGCAGTTTAACCACGATCTAGCCATTGCTCGTGGGTATTCGGATTTCGCCAGTAAACCCACTTTTCATCACAGGTGAAACCACTTAGCTGATTGCCGGTGATTAAGTCGGACCGGTCTACTGATCTTTTTCACCTTCTGCATGGATAGTAGATGGCGACTAACAGTATCATTCGACGTACCACACTCTTTGGCAAGTTTGCGAGTACTTGTGGACGGATTTGTCTCAACAGCTTCCTAAAGAACCTCATCAATATCCATTAATGTTGGCCCGGAGCCCTTCTTCCTTTCCAAAGTCGTATCTCCACTGAATTTTTTTTCAAACCAACGCCGCACAGTGCGCTGGCCAAGGACACCTTCCCCTTCATATTTAATAATTTTTTCCCCGTAATGGCTTAAAATTACAAGAATTTCGTAGGACACTGTCATGTTTCTTCTTTGAAACAAATAACTAAACTGAGGCTTTTTCTGAAGAAGTGGAATGGGATCAAAAAAGCTTAGAGAATGCACTAAAGTGATGATTATTAAGTATTCACAGGTATTAAATAGGAGTAAAATATTTACAGTCCTTTGAAATTTTTTAATCTTTTTTTTATACACCCTGTTATTATTTTATAACTTTTTGTAGCTCTTGAGGTCTGCTATCACTTATTTAATTAAACATTTTTCTCTGCGTATAAATTGTAAAAAACACACCATGTAAAGTCCTAATGAATCTACTATCGGTAGATGTAGACAGGGGTGCCCATCCCCCCCAAGGTCGATGGCGCAAAAATCTAATTCTTCCTCCTGACAAGATATTTTATTCCTCACTTTTTCTTAAAAACAGAGCAAGCTAAGGTATAATTAGAAAAATCATAGATCATATACAATTACACTAGCTGCGGTCTGTTACACGTTTTCTCCTTGTGACATAGTCCGAAAATTCATAAACCCGTCAAAATTTTCCCCACTCAAAAATTAAAAAACCCTCCAAAATATGCCCCCCTTTAAAAATTTTGATGGTGCTACTTGCGCCATGATACCCCTTTCTGGGCACCCCTGAATGTAGATATCCTTTTATTATCCGACCAAGGAGAAATCTCTATGAGGTTAACATGTTAAGGTTGACCGCTTGTACGAGGTATGTAATATTCTTCGACGTGAACGGATGGAGCTATTTTGAAATTTGATGACTCGAATTATAAACTAAAATCACGTGAACGTTTGACAACTATTTCAGCTTAAAATAATGAAAAAAAAAAAGGTCAGCATAGCTTCCTCACCGTTTTCATTGGCTAAAATATATTTATATTACAAGGTATGCAATTTTTCGTATGAGAATAAAATCTCTGGGAGAAGCCGATTCGGAAATACAGTTATCCTTCAACATTCGCGGGTTTGATTTCCACGAATTTCGTTCATCAGATAATATTAAAATGCGAAAGAAGGCAGTATTTGATTGCATATTGGTTATTCTTGATTAAAAAAAAAAATACCAATGCATACTGTACATGCATTTCACTATAGTGCAAAAGGTCGTATGAAAAACTCATTATTTCTTTATGCTTTATTGGTACAATTTCATATTTTATTGTCCTCTGCTATTATCCATAGTAGCAGATTACTTATACAATTCATCGCCTGAAAATGTCATGAAAATCGGATAAACGGTAGTATGTGATATGCCCGTTACATCGATTTGACTACAGACAGACACCGAATCAAATTTGATCCTTGATGTCTGAAACGTAAAACGCAAGTGAACATTTTCGATTTTGAGCACAAATTTGTTTTTAAACTCTCGCACGAATACAATGCTTCCCTGCCTACGGTAGTGAGGAAGCAATATTTTAATTATTCCCCATAATCCAACTTTATATTAGTTTCACATAATACCATGTTAGTTTATATAAATTATCAATATAAAAAAAAGTTTATATCTTTAAAATAAAAAATATGTTACTTAAAAAAAAACTGGTGCGCGCAACACACAACTTTCACTTACCGATGTACTTTGAATAGAAATTATTTTCTGGCAATGCTGGGCTATTATAAAACTTTTTGAAGTGCATTTTAAACAGAGATAAAGCTTAAAACTTACAGATAACAAGTCATTAAGACCATTATAATTACAAAATGTCTACTTAATATATCGACGACAGGCAATAAAAATCTAATCACTACATCTGCTTTTATAAACCACACAACTTTCTTTGCTTTTATAAACCACAGAATGATTCACTCCAATTTTAACATTTTTGAGTGATGTCATTTTAATGATATTTTTAGTTGAAAAAGTTATCTATGCAGACAATGAGTAAGTTGGTTCCAGAGGTGGTGATTGCAGTGTTGAAATATAGAACTGAGAATAAAGGTATAAATTTAAGTACTTATTTCTTATAAAAGATGTTCTTAGGAAAGACACTTTATTAGATATCTGTAGAAAAAAGGTTTTTTTAGTCTCAACAATTAAAAAAATATATTTTAAATTTATTCAAATTTTCGCCTCTTCAGAGAAAAAAACTAGAGACCATATCTTTCCTCCTAATAGTCCGAATTTTACTATTTTTTTTTTTTTTTTTTAGGAAATTCCATAAACTTCTAAAAACCAATATACAATATCGACAAAAAAGCGTATACTTTTTGAGTTATTCGGAATTTAATTTTAACATCCCTCGTAATTTTTTTTTCAGTTTCTTTTCGTTGAAGTATGTTATATAGATAAATTTAAAGGGTATCGAGAAAATGACTTTAGCGAAGTTTTATTGAAATCGGTACATTCGTTTAGGCGCTATAGTCTACAGCAACGCAGGTTTTTCTACATTTTTTTTTCTCCTTTATTAACTTATCAAATTCTTTCAAAAGTTATATGTAGCATTTTTTTCGTAACTCTGAATAATGTGAAATGGTTAACTTTTTAAAATAAACCATATTAAAGGTACTTTAGAGGAAGACATATATGAACATTGGGCGTTTAAGCCCTGCAAAGTGACATCAACTGGGATAAGACCTAATTATATAATTGACCACTTTATTATACAATGATAGACCGAGTTTGATCAAAATCGTTAGAGCCGTTTTTGAGAAAATTGTAAAAATGTGTTTCAGCGTTCATATAAAATGGCACTTCCGGTTAACCGATTTTAGCGAAAAAGTTGCTGTCACATCCAGCCCATATAAAAACCTTAAATACTTAATATTTAATATACTTAATATCAGATACTTAATATCAGTTTCGTACAACTTTTCATTTATGAGCTAGACTGTTAACACACACACACACATACACACACACACACAGACCATCTTGCGACACTTGGTTATTTGAACTCAGGGGACCTCAAAACGTGTATTTCCGTTGAAAACTGAGATTTGAAAATTTTCAAGATCGCAATACTTACCCTTACTATATATTACATATATACGTAAGTGAAAGTAAAAATCTATGGATAACTCTATCCTATCTAGATGAATGTTCTTGGACGTCTTCTTAAAAATATTGATAGATTGAATTGACTGTCGAATATTTAAACTCGGTGTCGTAGGCAGGTGCCTTTCACCATACGTTGTGACTCAGGGCAAGTAAATGTCTACCTATGCATCCTGGCACTTTAATTTTGGAAAGATACTTAAGTTTTTTTTTTTTGAGAAGTCACCGAAGTTTAAATATTCAGATGTCAATTTCCTAATAATTTACCAATGTGTTTATGTAGATATGCAAGTTCATACCCCTCATGTTGAATATCGTTATTTCGTCGGCACCTAATACGTTAAAATAACGGATGTGAAACGTTGCACAGGTTAACCTTACATTACATTCGTTACTACATATAACATGGTGCCGACCTTGATATTTCTATTATATTTTAAAAATTAATTTCTTTTTATAAGTTTGTATTTTATATTACAATAATAAATTTATATTACAATATTGCATGAGCTTCTTATATCAAACGATTTACCAGCCCAAAAGATAAAACACCACTTCCAGCCAAAACTTTCTTTGACGTGAGCGGTTAGTATAACGCTGAAGACTGCGAATCCAGTTGCTGAACTGGCGATTCCTAGAGCTATGGCTCTTTTGAACTCGAACCAAAAGCCGGGAGCGACATTGCCCACCATGAATACTAGAGATGATCCAAAACCTATAACAGAAATGCTTTAGATAAAAGAAAGTATATCTGGGAAGATGGATAAAATAACTACAATACGGGTAGAGTAATTAGAGACACATGAAAATAACATAATCCGATACTTAATCATATAATTTAACAAAATCTTCTACAATCAAAACCTCAAGCTTAAATTAAACACTTTAATTTAATTTTACAATGTTTTTCAATAATTTAATTTCATTTTCTTATTAATTATTAATGATGTAATGTAAACCGAACTGATCATGTTAATTTAAACAAGCCACAACAAAGTTCCAAACAAGATATTAGGAGTAGTTGAGAAACAGTTTACGATTCGGATAACAAACTATGTTTGATCGACTGAACAACATATGATCATTCGATTAGAATGAATCGACAAAACAGCGGATCAAGTGGATAGAAGGATGATATGAAGTCCGTAATTTGAAAAATCGTAAAATAAAAACCAAATTCTAGTTTAAGGTAAAGAACAAATCCGAACTCTTGGGATCAGAAAGACGAATCGATGGGAAGTATTGTTGCTCGAGATGTGCTCGCCTTTTTCTGGCGATTTTGTTATTTTTTGCTATGAAATAAAAGATAATCATCAAAACGATAGCTCAATCAATGGATTAAATAAAGAATTAACGACGATAGTGCGAACGGGCAACCAACTTCTTTATAAAGATACAAATAATAAATGAAGATGGTTTACTGTAGTTCTTTGCTCTGACTAGCAACAGCTGGATAAAATGGCTTGGAGATGGCTTACCTTACAGGCCGTAACGTAGCTATAAAAATTAAAATAAATAAGGTGAAAAATAAATAGAGCCTTATTTTATAATAAGTAGGACTCTCCTTATTTAGCCTAGATATATATGGAGATATTGTCCGTTTGGTAACCACTCTTCCTAAAATGTGATAATAGTAGTAATACAAGCCTTGAAAGATAGAAGGCCCAGTTAACTGGAAACTCTTTCATCAAATCATTTCCGAAAAAATTGACCTCAGATTAACCTTGAAAACCCCAGAAGACCTTGACAATGCCATACATTCCTTCACCATCACTATTCAACAAGCAGTATGGACAGCTTCCTCTCCAAATCATTCCTCAAGAAAACCTATGAAAAATAGTTTACCCCAACACCTCATAGACTTAATCCACACCAAACACCGTGACAGATCATTATGGCAACGTACCAAACACCCCATCGATCGCCGCTACTGCAATTATTATTGTAAACTACTAAAGTAAAAATTATCATTCTTCAGATCCCAATCCTTTGATACTTACCTTACTTCTCTCTCTGTCCACGAAAATTCCCTCAAGAAAACCACCAAAAAATTCTAAAATCCTATCCCCATTTTCCCATCCCCTTCGTCGATGCGATGACTCTTGGGCAGCATCTGATGAAGATAAAGCTGAGGAACTCGCCAGACACCTCTCCAGTACAATCACTCCTCATCCAGAATCCCATCCAACCCATACCGTAAAAGTAGAAGAATTCCTCTCTTCATCGATTCCACTCTCCTTACCACCTAAAGCAGTTTAAACCATTGGAGGTAAACATTACTTACAAAAACTTCCTCTCCGTAAATCTCCTGGATACGACCTCCTAACCCCACAGATCCTTCAACAACTTCCACCCAAAGCTACCATATTCCTTATATATATTTATAATTGCATCATAAGAACTACCCACTTTCCTCTCCTATGAAAACATTCCACCATCGTCCTTTTCCTGAAACCAGGCAAACCTGCCAACAATATAGCTTCCTATAGACCTATCAGCCTACTTCCAATCCTATCAAAAATTTTGAAAAGATTCTACTAAAAAGAATCCTACCTTTTATAGAATCCCATGAAATTCCTACCCATCAATTCAGATTTCGTTCCCAACATTCCACTGTCCAACAAGGACCCCGAGTTGTCGACCATTTATCCTCAGCCCTAGAAAAGAAGCAATACTTTTCGGTTGCATTTCTGGACATAGCACGGGCTTTTGATCGGGTATAGCACGCTGGACTGCTCTTCAAGCTTAAATTCCATCTACCACAATCGTTATATCTAATACTCCGTTCCTGCCTCTCTGACCGCTCCTTTCAAGTTCGCTATGGTACTGAATTCTCCAACTGTCCTTTAAATGAGGCGGGAGTTCCGCAGGGCAGCGTCTTGGGTCCAATCCTTTACATTCTTTTCACTGCAGATATTCCTGCCCATCCTCATACCCTCCTGGCAACATTCGCTGATGATGCCGCTATCCTTTCAACCAACTCAGATCCTAAAATAGCGTCATTAAACCTACAAATGAACCTCTCCCTGATTGAACAATGGTTTATGAAATGGCGCATTAAGATAAACAAATCCAAATGTAAACACATAACCTTCACCATTTGTCGTAAATCCTGTCCACCAGTTCATTTTAACACCATCCAGCTTCCTTTCTCAGATACAGTCCGATACTTTGCATTTCTCTTAGACCGACGACTAACCTGGAACCCACATACTAGACTTAAAAGACGGGAACTTAACCGACGACACGGCCAACTATACCGACTACTAAACAGAAAATCTAAACTTTTCATTGAAAACAAGCTACTGATCTACAAGACAATACTGAAACCTATTTGGACTTACGGACTAGAACTGTGGGGAACAGCAAAATTTTCTAACATCAAGCTCATCCAATCCTTCCAGTCAAAAGTCCTTCGGACAATAGTCGATGCTCCTTTCTATGTAACCAACGAAACCCTACATCATGACCTGAACATCACATTTGTCCTGAACCTTATCCCAGAAAAATTCTCCAAATTTCACCAGAACCTCACATACCACCCAAATCCTCTTGCACAATCCCTATCAAGCACCATCCATCCCTATAATCCTCTAAGAAGGTAGAAACGGCAGTGGCCTCACGACCTTTTGTAGATTGTATATATTGGAGTTCTGGCAGACTCTGCAGAGTTCTGGCCAGATTCTCCACTCAAGACATGAGTATTTGTAGCTAAAGTGCTCTCGATCAATCTCCGCTGGCTTTAATACCAGTGATGCGGTTGAGAGAGTAGTGCAGGGTTCTCCTGGAGTTCCCTATCCTGATATAGGTATGCATGTGTTTTTTTCCTTAGTTAATTTTCTTATTTTTAGGTTATTTTATTTTATTATTTATTGTATATACTTTTGAATATTATTTTGCTTCTATTTATTTTATATTTTTTGTACATGTAGTGTGAATGTTATCCTACCTCACTTATAACCAATGTCTAAGAGACAGATTGTTGTAATACTCAATAAATAAATAAAAAAGGCCGTACGACTGCTGTCTCGTCTTTTTTTCTGATTAGACAATGTTATGGTTCAGAGTAGTATGAATAACTTTGTTTTGTCCACAGTCACAGTCCAGTAAGTATTTTTATTGACATCGATAGCTTTTTTTCAGAGTCATGAGCTGCATTAGTGTATATTCGAAACTTTTTCTAATCAGTCCGCAGTACACTGAAACCCGTCTTTACGACAGCCAAAAGAGGGAGGGGCATTCGCTAGGAGCAGAAGTGGCAGATTAATTGCAATTAATTTATGTATCAGAGAATAGAGACGCAGAAAAGTATGTAATGGTTTCAAAAGTATTGAAATCTCAAATTAAGGGCACGCAAGACAATGATAAAGTAATAATCTATGATAATTCTCATATATGGCTGCGAAAACCGGACACTAACCAGCACCATAGAAACAACTAACAAAAGAGGAGAAGACTGGTTCCAGTGACCTTAAGTCTACTAGATCTCTAAACCTAATAGAAAAATCATAGAAAAGATAGTATGAAGGTCATGGGAGAAAACCATGCATTGTCACATTGTTTTCATTAAATATAAGTCAGGCTGGTTAAAATAGATAAAGAAAAAAACTACAATTTCCCCAGATTGAATACCCAAGAGAACGGTTCCATTTCTATTCAAAATTGGTTCAAAAAATAACTGAAAGTGGCAATAAAAAACTAGGTACAACCTTGAATTTTACCTTTCTTTTAATCAAGCTTTTAGGAAAACGCTTGCTTTCTCCTTATGGAGGGAGGTTTATGCACCACCGACCTTGGGGAGAGGGGGAGGGCAATGAGCCCCTCTGGTACTATGTAATATATACAAGAGCGAAAACATAAAATCATATTTACACCATGTCAGAAACTCACTCCTAAACATTTCAATATCTTAATACCTGAAATAATTCCAAAGAAAATGATGAATGCTACGAAGTCACTCATAAAGAAAGAAACGAAGAGGCCAATCATCATCAGGAGAGATCCGACAACGGTTGTCACCTTGAAACCGAACCTGTTGCAAATACCTCCAGCAAAAGGACCTGCAATAAATGCAAAATAAGAATTATAAATTTAATATTTAGTTTCAATAAAATTTAATTCAAAACAGTCAGGCAAGTCTTGGGATTCTATTTAAATTCAATAATACTTATCTTTGATATTGACTGTTAGATTGACTTTTTCCAAATGTAAATGATAAATATCACACAATAGCTACTTAAAATTAAAAATTTAAAATGATGATATTTAAAATTTCTCTACTATATCATTTCATTCAGTTTCTTTTACATACCCATAAAATATAGCAGAAGGGTGTACGTTGAAAAGATAACACTGGCAGTAGAAGCTGTTACTTCCAAGGTATCCATAAGATGTGGGAGGATGACCTGAAATCCGATAGAGGGTACGTCGATTACAGCGTTAGCGTAGAAGCATACTACGACTATGACCCATCCCCAACCTCCGTCTGGTGGGATAGGAACTATATTTTCAAGTTTCATCTTTTACTTTCATCCATATTCATCATTTGTTTATTTTTCTTCCTTTTTGTAGATAAAGTCAACTAATAACAGAAAATAAAAATGAATTAAAATACAATTTCAAATTAAAAAAATGAGCTCAATTAGTTCATATATTGTCCTAAGGATAGAAGAGTATGCTGTGTATATAGCAACCCAATATAATTGGGCGGCAATCCTTTATATTTTATATTTTATGAAAATAAAGTGTTTCTCTCTTTTTTCCATTAAATTTTGTACTTTTTACCTGTATTTAATTATATATATTAAAACCCTTTATCCAGTTTCAATTAAAACATAATTGTTCAAAATCTTTATATTTGAACGTTTCAGGGATTGTATGTCATCCACTTCAGCATTCAATACGACCAGCTATTGTTGGGTGAGACCAATTTACAATATTATTTATTTACTATTTTTGATTTGATTTATTTAAAATAGTGGGACATATTTGATTCTGAAGAGGAGAACATAGAATGAAAGGACGCGTAAATATGTATATCATGAATTAAACACTATGGTGCATATTTAATTGTGATTTGCCAGAAGAGTTGGATGAGAAATTTCATAAAAGAAATGAATTATTGAATGAATGAATGAATGAATTATTTCTGTATTTGACAACTTCTTCTTATTTTATATCTACTTATATTTATTTATTTTATTTTCACCATGTTTTGTATCTTTTGTAGCCCTGAAGACGACCTACAAAGTGGGTCGAAACGTCGGCAAAAATTAAATAATTACTATCTATTTAATTTAGTATTTATTTGGCCGCACCCCCCGATTAACTCCTTCTCATAAAATGAGTGGTTGAACATTTAAACCTTAGGCCATATCTAGCATGAAAGAGCCTCAATGCACGCTACCAAGCCTCACGGTCTCTGTAGAGTTGTTTCAGTGGCTGGAGAGTTTTTCCTCCAATCCTTTGAATATACTCTTCATACAAAATTCTAGACCTTCCGTGTGGCTACTTGCCAGTAGGTCGTGCTTCCATAAATATTCTGAGTTCCCGGTCCTAGTTCGTTCAACAAACAGGACTGAACCACTTGAACAGTCTTTTATGAATGCTAGCTTTTAGTGCAGGAATTATCAGATCCTCCCAAACCGTTTCACACGGTCTCTTCTGGTTTTAACTGCGACCTTACGTAAGTATTACATTTCAGCTCCTGTGATTCTGCTTATCTGCTTGTCCAGCATGACCCATTTCTCACTCCTGTAGGTAAAAATATGGAGGTATATTGATTTGTAGATATGAAGCCTACTTTTGTGGCCCACATACAGATGACCAGCAATGCTGTTACAAATACATCATGTATTATAAATACAGGTCGTATTATAAATTTGGTTGGCTTCAGCAATTCTATTCGCTATTTACCGATCTATTTAGCCCAGTTTATTGATTCCTAAGTAATTAATGTTCTCAACCACTCCAAGAACCTCACCATTATAGTCTGCCTCCACTACTTCATCCTCGTCTCGAAAAAGGGCAAGCACCTGATTCTTATTCTCTCGGCGTCTTCTGTTGATAGGACTTCCACGTTTGTTTATTTTGCTTATTATTAATTTTATATTGTACTCCCACCATTTACTAATGAGTAAATAAAATAAAATCGCTGAGCTTAGTAACGAGAGAATTCCTAAAAAGTTACTTTACGCTGTGCCGACTGATATGCGTCTGAGGGGTAGACCAAAGGAAAAGTGAGAAAATTGCGTTAAGGCTGATCTGGCGGGGTCAGGTTTAGACATCGCCGGATGCATGGAAGAACGTAATCATCGATGGTGGTATCGGCATCGAGCCTTTGGGTTTCCTAAGCTTTACTATCATTATTATTATTAACTAAGCAGCTGTAAAGTGGATATTAAAAGCTTAAGGCTTGAAGCTCATCGTTTAAAGTGAAACTGGGCTGGACACATGGTGAGGTTAAATGATGAAAGATAGTCCCAGGCACAGAGAGAGTGGGTCCCAAGAGAGAACAGCAATTAAAGGAGACGACCACATGTTAGGTGCAGGGACGAAATGACACAATATATAGGCGACAACTGGTAGCTTGTGTCTGCGAGTAGAAGCAGATTGGAACAAGTCATGAACAATATTTAGTTGTTTTGTTTTGTTTATAATAATTCACTAAATTTCTTAATAATTTCTGATTAGCTAACTTCATTGTTTTTAGTTGATTAAAATATGCGTTTTAAAAAGTGGGGTGGGGAGGGTTTAGACAGATAGCTGCAAGAATAAATTAACAAGTTTCGTTATAAAACATACAATTAATTTTTAATTAGTCACAAAAATTAAATATTGACAACAATCTATGTTTTTTAAGACTGCTTTGGAATAGGACTAGGATAAATTACAGCACAATGTATTTTCATTAATAAAAGAAATTATCTATATATCATATAAGCGTGCGATATAAACAAGTATACATAAAATAATACAAAAATTGAAAAATTACATAATGTTGATGAAACATTTACTTTTGATTAATCGTTGCATGGTTTCATTTATTTTTATGAAAGTAAACCTTTCCATATATGTTCATTAAAATTTTCAAATACCTGCATATTTTTCTCTAAGGTGTTTATTTCTAGTTGTGTCTTCTCGGCTCACCAACAATTATTAATTAAAGAATAAAAATTCTATTGAAGCTCTTATCACTGGAAGGCACAACACAAATTCAAAAATTATTTTGAACTTCAGATGATATAGTTGAGGGGTGATCATGTGTTTAAATATGTAGTGTATCAATGAATTCTGTAAATCAAACACAAACAATTTTCTCTTTATTGTTCCTAAATACATCACATTGCATTAGTGCTCTTAACCCTCACAAAACATATGAATAATTACAAAAAGATTGAATACTAAATCGATATAACATCGATTTAGTATTCCACCCTTTCTTTCCACACTCAAGAAAACAACAAACTTAAATTTCTTCTATAAGTCTTTTTACAGGCTTTGTAGTTCTTCGTAGGCGCATTTCGGTTTCTTCACAGGGAGCAGCCGTCGCAATAGGACTCTTCTCCAACAGCACAGGCAAATCGGTGGATATTTTAGGATCGCTGTCTGATTTATTTTTCAGCGGCTCCGCTACATTCCCTGGAGGCTCCTCCGGTTTTTTGTGTTGGACCTTCCACTATATGTTTTTATTTGTTTCTCTTGTTGCTGTTTCACTTTGATCTTGGTTGCAGGAGGTTTCAATAGATCGAGTCGTGTTCGTAATGATCTTCTAAACAAAGCTTGAGCTGGAGATATTCCCGTAGTAATATGTGAGCAGTTTTAGTCAAGCAGAAAACGGTTTAGTAAAATGCTTAAATCAGCACACTTTTCGGAGCACAGCGCAATCTTCAATGCTTTCTTAACGGTCTGCATCGCATTTTCAGCTGTTCCATTGGTTTTGGGTGAATAGGGTGGTCCATACTTCAATGCCACTTCATTGCGAGATAAAAAATTTTAAAATATTTCAGAATCAAATGCCGGGAAATTGTCACAAACCAATTCTTCCGGCAAACCAAATCTTGCAAATAGTTGACGCAAAATTTTAACTGTGGTAGAAGTTGATATTGAAAAAGTTGGAAAACCTTCAAGCCATTTAGAATGGCTATCGATTACAATTAAAAAATATTTCCCAATAAACGGACCTAATAATCAATGTGCAACCTCTCCCAGGGCTTGGATGACCATTGCCAAGGTACTAATGGCATCTTCATGGGGTTATCTTTTGTAATATTACGGGCTCGACATACTTGTACTATTTTTTCAATAGCCTTGTCCATTTTTTGCCACCATACGTATGAACAGGCTAATAATTTTAATTTCACGATTCCCAAATGTGAAGCATGTAACTCCTCCAAAACTTGTTGCCTTAAAAGTTCAGGAACTACCACTCTGTAATCTCACAACAGAATATCCTTCTCCGCAAATAATTCTTCCCTACGTGATGAAAAAGGTTGGAGCTCCGGGTCCACTTCCGTTGGCCAGCCCACTTTTGTGTACAATATAACTTTCATCAAAATTGAATCTTTCCTTGTTGCTGCCAATATTTTTTTAAAGTCTAAAGACAAATCTTCATTGCTATCAAATATATAATTAATACATAAATCAGCTTCTCGGGATCCTCTCGGACAATCAGGTACAGCTTCCCGTGACAACCAATCAGCAACGTTTTCCTGGGATCTTACCCACTCAGTCTTATAAGTATAGTTGGCCATTATCAATGCCCACCTTTGCAATCTGTTTGCTGCACACATTGGTATTCCTGGTTTGGGTCCAAATATTGCTAGTAGAGGTTTATTATCATTTACCAAAATAAATTCCTTTCCATATAAATAGATGTGGAATTTTTTCACTCAAAAAATCAAAGCTGCTGCTTGTTTATGTAATTGAGAGTAAGCCCTTTCTACAGTGGCCAGAGATCTACTCGCAAAAGCTAGTGGCTTGTCCACTCCTTCAGATCGTTAAAAATCACTGCAACCAGACCAGAGTCCGAACCATCCACAGCAAGTCTAATAGGAATTGACGGGTCTTAATGAGCTAATGAACGATTTTCTTGAACTACTGTTTTTATCCTATGAAACGCCTCACCACATGTAGAAGTCTAGTTCCAAGGAATTCCTTGCACAATTCAGCAAACTGTACTAAGGACTTAGTATTGACGATAATCTCGGTATAAATATTGCCAGGAACATCACAAAGCCGATGAAGCTTTGTATTTCCTTAATGTTTTGGGGTCTTACAGCCCGCAGAACGGCATCCACCTTGTCATCGGTGGAATGCAGGCCGGATGCATCGCCCACTAACCCCCAAATATTCCAATGATTTTTTTCCAAATTCACATATGTTAGGTGAAACGGTAAGACCAGCAGCATTGAGCCTATCTAACACAAAACAACTAAAACTAAACATGCGGATTTTCAATTCTTCTAAGTTATCTGCAACCAATTAATATATCATCCAGCAATACAGCAGTTCCATCAAGTCCATCGAATAATGCATCCATAATTTTTTGAAATTGGCTTGGATCAGGTGCCACTCCGAAGGGAAGGCGTGTATAAGTAAATAGCCCTTTTTGTGTTGTAATAGTGAGTAGTGACCTACTCGCTTCATCTACAACCACTTGTTGGTGAGCATGTGACAAATCTATTTTTGCAAAAACCTTACACCCTTGAACTTTATGGAATAAATCCTCTACTCGTGGGAGTGGATGCTGATCGATTTCAAGGCATGGGTTTAGAGTCAGTTTATAATTACCACAGATCCTCACTGTTCCTCCTTTCTTCAGTACTGGAACAATCGGTGAAACTATGGTTAATAGGCATCAGAATACCTTCCTGCACTACTCTTTCCAATTCCGCATCTACTTTAGCCTTCATGGCAAAAGGCACAGGCCTTGCTTTTATGAACTTAGGTTTGACACCCGATTTTAATTCTAATGTAAAGCCACCTGTAAAAGTTCCAAGCCGATCAGAAAACACCTCTGGATAATAATGGATGGCTTCCTCCCACAAAGTTGATTCCTCATTACTAAAAAATAAAGGTTTTGCCTCATGGCTATTCATAATTTTAAATCCAAGTTCCTCAAACCATGTTCGTCCAAGAAGGGGCGGACCGGACCATCCGATTCCACCACATACAATTCCAGACTTGAGTATATGCGGCCATTATAGTCCACATCCACGTTTAAACTGCCAAGAGGTGCCTATCTTTCCTGAAAATATGAGACAAAAGCCTTCTTTGCAGTTCCCAATTTTAAGCCAGGCAGTTTCTTCTTAAAAAGTTTAAGAAGCAAAATAGTACTTGAACAACCAGTATCCACCTGAAATACTATATCAACCTGGTTGATTTTTAGGCTCACTTGATATCCCGATTCCTTAGGAGAACTGTCAATTTTATATAGCCATTCTAGATCAGAAGATACATCCTCCTCTATATAGTGTGATCTTTCTTTCAATCCTCGGTTGCCTTCTATCCAACACACACATTCGAGCCAGATGCCGTATTTTCTGACAATTATTGCAGGTATATTCCCTAAAACGACATTTGCCGGGGTCATGACCCACTTTACCACAAACGCTACATTTGCTTGAATATCTTTTATTAGTTTGCCCCCTAGAGACTGATGGCCTATCTTTTTCTCTACTAACAAAATACACAGACTCCTTTTTAACCACTATATCTAGATTATACTGCCTAAATGTAGCTTATTTTGCAGTAGCTATTTCTATAGCCCTAGGCAGTGAAATATTTGCAGGATTTTCTTCGAACATCCGATCCCTTATCGGTCCCTTATTCATACCTATAACAAATTTATCTAACATAATAAGGTCAAGATAATTGTTGAAAGCACAGTGATTCAGACGGTACAAAATATTCATCAAATAAGTTTAAAAGTTCTGAAAAGGTTAAACCTTTTGGTTTCTTGAGAACACTTAATGTCGTTATAAGCTTAAAAGCTTTATCATCGTAACGAATTAAGAAATAAATCGCGCCTTTGTGTTTCGTTTTTGATACTATTTGCATCGAAAAAGCTTTCCATCCGTGGCTTCCAGTCCATATTCATGGAAAATTCTCTGAGCACCCATATGATCGGCAACATAACCGTCTCCGTGACATAATAGTGAATAAATCGTATTCACTTACTTTCAGGATTAATCGCCTATGTAGTGTATCAATGAATTCTGTAAATCAAACACAAACGATTTTCTCTTTATTATTCCTAAATACATCACATCACATTACATTAGTGCTCTTAACCCTCACAAAACATATGACTTATTACAAAAAGATTGAATACTAAATCGATATAACATCGATTTAGTATTCCACCCTTTAACAAAATACTTACGCCTTAGGTCTTAAGTACTCACTTCTTTTTCTTATCATTCTCAAAGTCTAATGAATAATAATGACTTATCGAATACCCGTTTTGATGGTGGTAAATGCATCAAGCAGTGTTCTATTGTTAGAGGTAGGAGACTGGAAACATACGTTTCACACTAACTATGCACATTTTCCCAATGTTTGGGTTTTGAAAATTAAACCACAAAAACTAAGCTAGTTATTTAACAATACTTACACATTATTTAAAAAATAAACTATAAAAAAATTTATACCAACTTCTTAAAAATAAAGTTTTGAAAATTCATGGTCAGTCCGTATATTATTACCGAATAGTTTGAGTTCTTCATAATTGAAAGTATCAGTCATTACTACACAATGTTCTTATTTTTTCTTCTGAGTGATTCATAAGAAATTACACTTGATATAGCCCTCAGCTTTAGTTGATGATAAAGAAAATGAATTTAACAACACACAGCGTTGTCCGTAGATTTTCTTTCAAGGGAGCTTAAACTGTGCATTTGTTCAATTGTGTGATAAACATATGCATCTTCTCATTTTTCATTAACTCAAGACCAAAGGATGTTTTTACCATCGCATGGATAACGATATCAACTTATTGTTAAGTTTTTTTCAAATGTTGTTCTAAACTGGATGGTTTAGTGTTTATAACCCATCAATTTCAACTTGAACCACTCTTTAACTATAAGGAACCTTTAAGTTTGTCTTAAAATTGGAGTTTCGTTTCTGTAATTTCCCGTTAAACTTGCATACCCAGTCCTCCCATTATTAATAAAAGGAAAGGATAAAATGTAAATAAACTACATATAGTGCAACCATACTGTAGGTTATAGTCATATGTTCAAGGGAAACGTTGTGGGCTTCAAGGTTGGTAGCGCTTGGAGTGTTAATTCATAAAAATATAATTTTTTTTTTATTGGGTATTAATACAGTCTGCCACACTGAGGCATTGGTACTAGGG